GCCGCATTTGACAGCCACAATCTCATCCATATTGCTATAAAATATAGCATTCTGTGTAGAATTCAAATAGCTCCGATACATTTTGTGGTCTGCACCGACTCGCGCATGTGATTTTTGGCGGAAGTGACGATCTGCAAGCTTTGAATGCTTATATCTTCTAAATGCTACTTTAGCACACTGCCTTATAGATGACCTTAAGACTAACATATTGATACTAACACCCAAAAAACTTTAATTTTGATTTCATGGGGACTTTAAACTGTGAAGTAGCCTGGGAAGCTACAGTTTCAAACTAGTTTTTAAAGTATTAATCTACAGTCAAGAGTACCTATGGCTACATTAATAGGCAACTCTTTAAGTGGGCAATATATTTTAAAAATTAAATGTACACTACTGTTCAAATGTTTGGAGTTAGTAAAATATTTTGAAAGAAATAAGGATGCATTAAAGTGATCAAAAGTGACAGTAAAATTTTTTAAATGTTATAAAAGATTTCTATTTCCAATAAATGCTGTTCTTTTGAACTTTGTTCATCAAAGAATCCTGAAAAATAATATGTATCACTGTTTCAACAGAAAAAATATTTGGTATAGCACAACTGTTTCCAACATTGATAATAATCAGAAATGTTTCTTAAATCAGCATATTAGAATGATTTCTGAAGGATCATGTGACACTGAAGACTGGAGTAATGATCTTGAAAATTCAGCTTTGATCACAGGAATAAATTACATTTTACTGTATATTCACATAGAAAACACTTATTTTAAATAAAAAAAATATTTAACAATATTACTGATTTTACTGTATTTTGGATCAATTAAACACAGCCTTGGTGAGCAAAAGAGTCGTCTTTCAAAAGCATCAAAAAATCTTAATGACCACAAATAGTGTAAGTTATAATTTTTTTTTACAGTATTTGCAGGGTCAAATCAAACAGGGAATCAAACAAATCAGAGAATCTGTTCTTGATCTGAACAAACCAGTTGACTAAAATGAATCAAAAGTGTGACTGGAAAAGCTACTATATTTTGAAAACAATCGAATCTGAAAATATTCCATGAAATCTTGTCTTCTCTCTCAGATCCAGAGGTGTTGTTGGCGGTGGGCAGTATGTCGGAGGTCGGTATGTTGGACTGGGACTGTGATTCAGACGATTGGGAGAAGCAGTTACAGCGCGAGCTGCTTCTGATCCAGAGACAGCAGCAGATCCAGAAACAGCTGCTCATCTCCGACTTCCAGAAACAGCATCAGAACCTGCTGAGACAACATCAGGCCCAGCTCGAGGAGCACATCAAGGTACAAGCCTTCATTCACCGTGACCCCAGATTGAAAAACAAGTAAATACACATGCAAATGCAGCACAATCTGCAAAGAAATGTTAAGTATGCAATTATTCGAGAGTATAATCATGAACGGTGAAATCACCAAGCCAGACTGTCAAACTCAAATCAAGATGCTGTTTGTGTCAGATACTTGTAGATGGGATGAAGCTGATCCTCCTATATGAAGCAGGTCAGTGTGGTTTTAGGTCACTTGGCTGACCTGCAGGAAAGAGCTGCTCTGTCAACAATTACTGAGCTTAATCGCATTACTCGCGATGTGAGTGAATGAGTGTGTACGTGCACGGGTGTTTTTTGTGGTTATAAAGATTCTAAAAATTGCAAGTAAATTTCACAAAGAATTAAAAAGAAACAGCAGGTAGCACACTGAATTAAACATGACATGAAAGACTGAAATTGTATTTTTTTATTATTTGTTTAATTTACAAATTCAATGTGGATGCTGATTGGTCACTTAAGTAAATTACAAAAATATGAAAGTAATGGTCATCTGGACTTAAATGCTGCAGTATTTCTCTTTATTTTCAATGACTTGTAAAGGAATAGTTCACCTAAAAATCTAGCGTAGCGTTAGTTCTGGCAGGTCACGTTAGTCAAGCTCGCATCAGCTGACTCTCAGCTGATCCCCATCAACCTATGGGAATACGACACCTATCTAAGCATTCATATATAAGGTCCCTCAGTATTATCAGCAGTTTTCGCATTGCTCAATAGCTAATTACCCTCCTCCATCCCCAGCTCCTCCTCTGTCAGTCAGGATTCAGCCTTCTGATTCTCCTTTGAATCAGACTAATTCTAAAATGTGTACATAACATTATTGAACTTTAACGATATCTGCAATACATTTATGTTGGTTCTGTTCTGTTTACTCTGGGGGGTTATTGCTGCTCTCCCTGCTCTCATCCATGCTAGGCTGCATGGATGCGCAGGGAGTTCTTGCCCAGAACAGAACCATACCGCCAATCCAAACATGTATGCTAATTGTCAATCATCTTTGACGATAGTGGTCCTGACAGAAATGAAGATTTGCTGGAAATGTCCTCACCCTCAAGCCATCCAGGATGTAGATGAGTTTGTTTCTTCATCAGATTTGGAGAAATGTAGCACCGAATCACTTGCTCAGCAATGGATCCGAATGGGTGCCGTCAGAATGAGAGTCCAAACAGCTGATAAAAACATCACAATAATCCACACCACTCCAGTCCATCAGTTAATGTCTTGAGAAGTGAAAAGCTGTGTGTTTGTAAGAAACAAATCCATTATTAAGAAGTTTTAACTTCAAACCATTACTTTTGGCTAAAATATGAGTCCATAATAAGTTAAATGTCTTGATGGTTTTGTTTATTTTTTTCTTCTCATGATGTTAACTGATGGACTGGAGTGGTGTGGATTACTTGTTTTTATCAGCTGTTTGGACTCTCATTCTGACGGCACCCATTCACTGCAGAGGAGCCATCGCTGAGCAAGTGATGCAATGCTACATTTCTCCAAATCTGATGAAGAAACAAACTCATCTTCATCTTGGATGGCCTGCGGGTGCAAATGTTAATTTCTGGATGAACTATTCCTTTAAACTTAATCTTTGAAAAGTATGCTTGTGCTATGTCTTTTTAATAAATGCCACTTGCTGTCATATGTTGTTATTTAATACATGACATTCATACATAAAGTGTGCTTTAAATGCCCAAATACTATCGTCATTACATCAGTCAGAGGCCAATTTGATTTTTAAATATCAACATCAGCCATTTTTTTAATCTAAACTGTATGTTTATGGTTATTTTCTCTCTCTGTTTCAGCTCCAGCAGGCTCTGTTAACTCTGCGGCAGCAGCAGGAGGTGTTTGTTGAGGAGGAGAGAGAGGAGGTGAGGGAGGACGACAAGGAGCTTCACAGGAGGGAGACACAGAAACACCAGCATCACAGACGGAAGGAGCGATCTAAAGAGAGTGAGAAAACAACTGCCTCTGCCAGTCATTTCAACTTTCATTTTAGCGATAATTCCTGTAGTATTTGTCTTTATGATACACCTCTGACATGTATAAGTTTATAAAAGTAATGACAGTGCTTCTGTTTTTGCTTGTCTTTTTTTATGTCCAGTTACATTTCACCTACGACTTAATCCTGCAAATTGCTTTATTCACCACTAGGTGCCGCTGTTTCTGCACACGTCTCTCCTTTCTGAGCTGCACATGTAACTTGAGCAGAGTGACAACATTAAATAATCAAAATGCATTGAATTCATGATATAAAAATAGTATTGCAGTTAAGTCATATTAACGTTTTCAGACGATTAAAATTTAATTTTATTTGTGAAGCATACTTAAAAGAGACATTTTAAACATTTTAAATGACTAGATTACAAATAAGTATTATTAGGTTTTAAAACAAAATAAACAATGAAATACATAAATAAGAACAAATATTAAAATGTATGATAATTATTTAATTTTATATTTAATATTTAAATATAAAATTATACTTAAGCATTTAAATGAATTATATTTAAATACAAAAAAATGCTTGAGATAATGTCAAAGATAGCACACAGGGGTTTCAAAAAAAAAAAAAAAAAAAATGAAATACATAAATATGAATGAATATAAAAATATGTGAAATAAAGATTTAATTTATTCCTGATATTTAAATATAAAACTATAATTACATATTTTATTTGAATAATAATTAAAATTCTATTTGAATATTAAAATACAAAATGATATAAAAGTATGCTTGAGATAATGTCATAAAAATAGCATACAGCAGCAAATTAAATTTTAAACTAATAGATTACAAGGAAAATTATTAGGGCTTAAAACAAATATGAACGAATAGATTGAAAATACATTAAATAAATATGTAACTTTATATTTAATATTTAAAATGTATATAAAATACAAAATAACATTTTAGTACAGTTCAATTCCATAAACTATTCATTTCCATATTAACTCTGTAAAAGAATCACATATAGGCTGATATCTGATGCTTTAATCTGTCATAAAGTCTAACTCGGCTCGTAACTTGTTTTCAGCAGGTGCGATGGCGAGCACTGAAGTTCGTCAGAAGCTGCACGACTTTCTGATGAGTAAATCAGCTAAAGACCCGTCAGCGTCCGGCGCCGGTTACCCTCTCAACCGCTCCAAACTGTGGTACAGGTACATCAGCGTCCCACACCTCTATTCAAGAGCACTGTACTGCAGATCTGTGCCTTTCAGGCTTCTTTTCCATGTGAATGTTTAATAAAATAATAGGATTTGTGTCGAATCAAAAGTGTCCAGAGTGTAAGGTGGTGTGATGATGCCATCTCTCACAGCTCCGCCCACCCGGGTCCAGCAGAGCAGAGCTCGCCTCCTCTAGGAGAGACTCCGCCCACCTTCAAATACCCTCTGACCTCCGGCCTGGACTACAGAGAGGACTTCCCTCTCAGGAAGACTGGTAGGTCAGAGTTCAGAGGTCAGGCCGTCCTATGATCCTTACAAAATCACTCTAATCTGAGACATCTTTGAGAAGGGCAGTGCAAGGGCAATCTGAATATACATAGAGGTCTCACACTGTAAATCCAGATTAAATGGCTTTGTTTCAAAACCTAGTGAGCTCAGCTGCCTAGCTGTTTACTTCCGACATAGGCAACTAACTGCCTTCTAAGGCAGCATGTAGGGTGTTTGCCTATTGTGCAAAAAAACTACAAAAAACATCTAAAAACTCTTAAATCAAGATACATTTACTTGAGCAGCAAAATAATATAAGATACTGTCTTGTTTAAAAAATAAATAAATACAATAAAATAATTACTTTTTTGTTTTTTTGCTTAAAACAAGACAAAAATATCTGCCAATAAGGTCAGAAAATTAAGGTCAAAGGTGAAACGAGATTATTTTTCATACCCAACTGGCACATGTTTTTTTCCTCATAAACTCATTTAATTTAGAAACATTTAAGAGAAAACAAGATGTAATATCTTATGTAATGTTTACATAATATCTTAAATAAATATGTAACTTTATATTTAATATTTAAAATGTATATAAAATACAAAATAACATTTGTTATATTTGTAATAAAAATAAATAAATCATTTTTTTCCAGTGCAAATATTAGGGCAACAGTCCAATTTGTATCGTATTAAAATATACAATATTTTCAGTATTGAATAAAATATGTTTTTAATCACTAATTCTCTAAACTTCTTATTGGATATGTTTAGTTTGTTTGACCAAAAGAAGCATCTTAGAAGGCAGCATAGTTCTGATGCCGTCTATCTAGGGTGCTCACTAGGTTTTGGAGCAGAGCCCAGTGAGCTGCTGTGTGCTCCTGCGGCTCCTGTGTGCAGAATATAACAGCATTACAGGAGTGTCACGGGACCCGGCGGAGGTGACACTGCCTAAATGTTTGCAGATGAATCTGGCCGATATTTAATCGCCGGGGTCAGCTGAGCTTGGGAGCAGTGGCCTGAGGGCACAGCTGTGAGTGACCCTGTTTAGCTTTGGGGTCAGCGCGGTGAGAATGACCACGCTTGTGCCCCCTGAGCGCCCCGGGGCGGCCCGTGCAGAAGTTTGCAAACAATTAGCCAGCGGAGGGGTGCAGAGATGGACCGGTCCGGCTCTCTGGCCCCTAATCAGAGCGCAGAGGTTAACAGGAAGTAGGTGGCTTTGGGTCGTACGGGGACGAAGAACCTCAGAGGAGCGTTCAGGATGCTCATTGTGGGCATCTGACCTTTGACCTCGTGTCTGTGGGATTGTTTTGCATGTTTAATTGTGTCCTATAGGTTAAAAAGTCTGAGCGTTTAGTGATGGTGACTTTCAATAGTTTGTGGTTGGTATGATTTTATATTGTTTTTGAACAGTATGCTCACCAAAGCTGCATTTATGTGATCAAAAATATAGCTTAAGTAATTTCTTTGAATCCCTGCACAGTGTTGCAAAATATTGCACAAAGTAACATACATACCGTTCAAAAGTTTTTAGTCTGTAAGATTTTTTAAAGAAGTCTCTTGTGCTCACCAAGGCTGCATTTATTTGATCAGAAACACAGTAAAAGCAGTAATATTGTCAAATATTATTACAATTTAAAATAGCTGATTTCTATGGAAACTTGTTTTTGCCACAGGATAAAAAAAAAGTAATTACAACTTTTTATGTCACAATTCTTACTTTTTCTTGTAATTCTGAAAAAAACTAAAACAATTACAAGATATTAACTCACAATTCTGAGAAGAAAGGTCCAGATAATGAGATAACAAGTCGTAATTACCTTTTTTATTCTGTGGTGGTGGGGGCGGGGGTAAAAAAAAATGTAAATTTAGAATTCTGATGAAAAAAGTCAGAATTGCAAGATATAAACTCAAAAATGTAAGAAAAATTTAGAATTCTGAGTTAAATCACAATTATGATTTTTTTTCTCAGAAGTGCGCAATTACCTTTTTATTTTTTTACTTTTTAATTTTTTAACAGGCTTGCATAGATTTCTTTTGTAATATACTGTAAATTGTAATTTATTCTTGTGACATAAAGCTGAATTTTCAGCATCATTCATTCAGTGTCACATGATCTTCAGAAATCATTCTAATATGCTGATTTGCTGCTCAATAAACATTTCTGATTATTATCAATGCTGAAAACAGCTCTGCTGCTTCATTTTTTGTGGTATTTTTCAGGATTCTTTGATGAAAATATAGCTTAAGTAATTTCTTTGAATCCCTGCACAGTGTTGCAAAATATTGCACAAAGTAACATACATACCGTTCAAAAGTTTTTAGTCTGTAAGATTTTTTAAAGAAGTCTCTTGTGCTCACCAAGGCTGCATTTATTTGATCAGAAACACAGTAAAAGCAGTAATATTGTCAAATATTATTACAATTTAAAATAGCTGATTTCTATGGAAACTTGTTTTTGCCACAGGATAAAAAAAAAGTAATTACAACTTTTTATGCCACAATTCTTACTTTTTCTTGTAATTCTGAAAAAAACTAAAACAATTACAAGATATTAACTCACAATTCTGAGAAGAAAGGTCCAGATAATGAGATAACAAGTCGTAATTACCTTTTTTATTCTGTGGTGGTGGGGGCGGGGGTAAAAAAAAATGTAAATTTAGAATTCTGATGAAAAAAGTCAGAATTGCAAGATATAAACTCAAAAATGTAAGAAAAATTTAGAATTCTGAGTTAAATCACAATTATGATTTTTTTTCTCAGAAGTGCGCAATTACCTTTTTATTTTTTTACTTTTTAATTTTTTAACAGGCTTGCATAGATTTCTTTTGTAATATACTGTAAATTGTAATTTATTCTTGTGACATAAAGCTGAATTTTCAGCATCATTCATTCAGTGTCACATGATCTTCAGAAATCATTCTAATATGCTGATTTGCTGCTCAATAAACATTTCTGATTATTATCAATGCTGAAAACAGCTCTGCTGCTTCATTTTTTGTGGTATTTTTCAGGATTCTTTGATGACTAGAAAGTTAAAAATGAACAGCATTTATTTGAAGAAAAAAAACCTTTACTGTCACTTTTGATCAATTTAATGCATCCTTGCTGAATAAAAGTATTAATTTCTTTCAAAAAAGAAAAAATATATATTTCTGACCTCAAACTTTTGAGTTAGTGATAGTACAAGTGATTTTGCAAACACCATGAAAAAGTACATCTGAAAACACGCTTGCTTTTCCAGGAACTGGTACTTGAGTCAACATAATCAGATATTTTCTGCATATTTCGGCGTCTCGTTGCGAGGCTGATTTCGAGACGAGTTTGCAGAGGAAGGTGATACGCCTGACTCGATGATAAGACTGAAACCCCTTTCAAAGGAAACGTAAAAATAGACCTGGTTTTCATCCAGGCACTGTTTTCACGGAATTTCCAGCAAGGCCAAAAAACCGGGAGGCTCAGCGGGCCGGAATACCGCAAACCTCCGGGGAGAGTTTTCCTGAGCGCAGGGGTCTGCGCCGCCTCGGAGATCAGCGCAAAACCCCGGGGCCGCTTTTCATCCCCTCTCAATAACTCAGGTAACAGCTTTTCAAAAGAGGCCCGTCCGGTACATTAGGGGGGATACAAAAACAACAGGAACGACGCAAAGACGGGGGGAAAAAATGAGAAGAAAAACAGCCTGCTTTTTTGTCAATGGAATAATTTGTCTACGCTGACAAGACGGTCTGCAGGGCCACTTCCTGCGGCTCCGGTTTCAGACCGTAGATCAGAACGAGCAAAGATAGAGCAGAGGCGGCCAATTAAAACACAAAACACCTCTCTGTGCCTGAAGGGAAGGATTTTAGCCTTTTTTTTTTACGAATGTAATCATTCCCACAGTTTCATACCTTAAGTTTCAAGATGTTTAAGCACCGCTCGCAAAACATGGAAAAACAACGTTTTTATGTATGAACTGAAATATCAAACATCCTGTATGTAGACCTCAGGGTTGCCAGGTCTGCGCAAAAAAAACAGCCCAATCACGGTCAAATCTAACCCAATCGCAGCAACAGTATAAAATGGTAGATGCTCCTGTTTTGAATAACATTTTGAGGAAGGGTTGCCAGGTCTACTTATAAAACCAGCCCAATTGCTACTAAAAACTATCATTAAAAAACATAAAAAAGTATATATAGGCCTATTTTTTTTACTACAGTAAAACTGTTAACTTGGTATTAGACATCACTGACTTACATGATAAATTATAAACACAGTTTGATGTCTGCCTAACAAAAGCAGCCCAACTGCTACTCAAAACCAGCCCAATCATTGTCAAATCTAACCCAACAGTATAAAATGGTAAACGCTCCTGTTTTGAATGATGTTTTGAGGTAGGGTTGCCAGGTCTACTTAACAAAACCAGCAAAACTGCTACTCAAAACTGACCCAATCACAGTCTAAACTAGCCCAATCGCATCTCGTGGCAAATTGGCTATCAACTTCATTTCAACCCCCAACAACCTACAGCAACAGTATAAAAGAAGCCCAGTTCCACGGGAAAACAGTGGACTTGGCAACACTGTTTTGAGGCCTCATTCCCAGTAGATTCCCGCTCAGAACGGGGGTGGCGGGCGATCATGAAGGTAGCTTTTGTTCTTTGCCCCGGTCAGGACTTCACGGCCGAATGATTGACAGGTGTGAAGGGGGCGGGACTCTGAGTGCTGGTGATGTGCAGGCGACAGGTCTGTTTGTGTAAGGAAAGAGAACAGCGGGAGAGACGCTCCAATACTGCTAGAGCAAGCACCACTCTTACTACTAGTGATCTGAACAAAACCGTATTGTTAGTTTGAAGTATCAATGTTGAGTGTGTGTGTCAGCATGCAGCGTTTGTGCTCTAGATATTTGTTGCTAAAGAGAGGTGTGCTGCATTTTTACACCTGCTGGACCAAAAAATCACACAAACACACACTGAAGCCATGTGCTCTAGACGTTTGTTGCTAAAGAGAGGTGTGCTGCATTTTTACACCTGCTGGACCAAAAAATCACACAAACACACACTGAAGCCATACAGCAAAAAATACATATTTTCAGCTTTTTAAATATATATATATATTATATTTATATTTTATATTATAAGTGCTGTCAAATGATCTGTTGCAAAAAGTTTTGGTTTACATAATATGTGTGTGTACTGTGTATATATATATATTATGTATATGTAAATACACACACATACAGTATATACTTAGAAAATATTTACATGTATATATGTAATTTATATTATATATAAGTACATTTAATATATAAACCTTTTCCTTAAATATATACATGCATGTGTGTGTATTTATATATATATATACGTAACAAATATATACAGTACACACACATATATTAAATGTAAACAAAACTTTTATTTTGGATGCCATTAATCACAATGAATTGTTTGACAGCACTAATATACATATCTTCTTATACTTATGTTCATATTTTTCACATTTTTGTTATTGTTTAAATATATTAATTTCTCCCAATTTTTTTTTAAAAGAATACACTGTGAATTCACCCAAAATGTATTTTTAAGATTGGAATATATATTTTGGTATTTTAAAGAAATATATTTAGCTGTTTACAACATATATTTTGTCCATAAGAACTGGACATTAAAAAAAAGTATTTTTTACTACAGTAAAACTGTTATCTTGGTATTAGACACCGCTGACTTCTAAATTCTAATGAAAAACACAGTTGCAGACTGAAGCTGTAAGTGAGCTGAGATAAGAAGCATGTGGTAATGTACATATGGAAGCGGTCAGCAGCAGCTAAATAAAGCCTGGCAGGTGTCCCTCCGTCCCGCAGGTGTTGGTGTAAGGAAGTTTGAGTCGGGCTGCGCTGAAAATGCCCTTTAATGACGTTACCCAACGTAAACATGCCGCCCGCTCTGCGTATTTTCCCTACCAATTAAAAACGTGTAAATCCTTCCAGCTAATTGCTTGGTAAATATTTTTGCAGTATTTTTCTAATAGCTCTTATTCATCATGTGTCAGAGAGAGTAAATTACAGTATTTGAGCATCGCTGTAATCTCGTCCAAGTGCTCCTGAAACTCAAAGCGTCCTTTTCATTACGATCGGCCTTTTTTGTCATGCAGCCGTCTTTAATTGTATTAATTTATGTAGGGTGGGGTTCTTTAATTGCTTGTAACATTTTTCTGCATGTTGGGTTTTCCCTGAACGAGAGCCGTAGGACTGAAGGGTTACAGTAAAAACTCCAGAAACATTCAAACTTCCTCATCCTTGAACTATATGCATGATTGTGCAGTCAAACACATTCAAAAAGATTCACATTCATGTTTTTGTTTTATTATGAATACAATAATACTTCATTTCAATTTGAATTTAATTAAATTGTATCTTATTTTTTTTTATATTGTTTATTCAGTTTAATTTTTAAAGTTATCTGTTAGGGTAGAATTGTATTTTTAAATTATTCATAAACTTTCTTTTGTCAGCCCATTTTTTTAGGGGTAGGATGTAGTCGTTTTTTTATTTTATTTTCATTATAAATACAATTATATTTTACTTTATGATTTTGTAAAACATTTTTATTAGATTATTTTATTGTATATTTTTAATGAAGAGACTGGAAAAGCATAGCGCCAGACACAAGTTCAAAATAATAAAAACAAGATCCGCGTATGAAAAAATAGGCCAAAGCGCACATATGAATTTATTATCCAGATGCCACAAATTAAGTGCAAAATGTGCACAAAAGTTTATTTTGGCACTGATGAAGGGTTAAGCCTTTCTTTGAAAGGTTAAGCCAAACCTTTGCACTTTATTTGTAGCCTCTGGAAAATTGTGGCCTATTTTTCCGTGTGCGGATTTGATTTTTGATGATTGTATATTATTATAAATATAATTATATTACGTTTATTTTTTGGTACGTTACGTTTGTTTGTTGCATTTATGTTATTTTTTATATTACATTTTATTTGTAATTCATTTTATTTTTCAAATTTATTTCATTATTTTATTTTTTAAGTTATCTTTTAGGGCTAGAATTTGAATCTGAATAGAATTTGTATTCTATTTTTAAATTATTCATAAACTGTTTTTCATCAACAGGTTATCTTTTAGGGATAGGCAACACTTGGATTTTATTTGATTATAAATACATTTATATTTAATATATACATACATACATACGTATATATCATATTTTTAGATAATTATTATTTTATATATAAATACAATTGTATTAAATTTAAATTTTTAATTTTGTTATATTTGATTATTTTATATAATCAATATTATCATCTTATTTTATTATCTTTTAGGTAGGTTGTAGTTGTTGTTTTTTTTTAAATGAATTTTTAATAATTAAAAAATATTTTTATTTTAATTATTATTTAAATTTTTTTTTTAATAAATACGATTACATTTCATTTCAAATTTATTTTTTAAAAGATAAATTTCAGTTATCTTTTGGGGTTTATTTTAGTTTTTTTGTCAACAAGTTATCTTTTAGGGGTAGTCAATTTCATTTCATTTCATTTTTATTATAAATGTTATTTATTTACTTATTTAAAGTTATAAATGTTTATTTTATTATAATTTTTTTAACACTGTAGTATATTCTCACGACTCAGTCTCAGCCAATAGGAAGTGAGTGTGTGTGTGTGTTTATTTTCATATTCCTCATCTCGTTTCATCTCTGTTCTCAGCCCACAGTGTGTTGTAATCACGTCGGGCTCCTGATGTGTGTATGTTTGATGCCCACTCAGCGGTCAGACCGGCGGTAGGTGGCGTCAATCGGGCGGCTGGCTTTCCATCCCAGCCTGAGGAAAATCCAGGGAATTTTGGGACAAAAAAAGGAGGATTTCCCCTTTTTTTAAAGCCAAATCTCTCTCTCTCGCTCTTGCTGTCTCTGTCGGTGCCGATATCTCAGTGTTGGTTTAAACACGGCTACCGTGGAGGTTTGTGGTTTGCAGGCTGGCAGGTCCTGGACTCCTACAGTCAGTGGAGACGCTTTTAATGTCCTCCAGATGAACGGTGGAATTGATCTTCCACTTCTTACCTCATTACAGCTGCTAGATATCCCAGAATTCCTCAGTGCGGCTGGACCGCGGCCACACATTCACTCAGCAGGTTCTGTGTAGAACACTTGTATATGTGTACATGTGCATTGAGATCTCTATTTTTTAAATTTTATTTTTACATTAATTTTTATTTTTTTACATTTTATATCTATATTTGACAGGTCATAAAATAAATTGAATTGTCTCATGTGACATTTTTTTTAACAATGCCCAGAGAGCCGTTTTATTTTATTTAAAGTTTTTATCATTGTTTACCAGTACAAATATCTAAACATTCCTCAATCTAGATACATCTTGAGAATCAAAATGACTTTGTCTCATTTACTGAAAAAAAAAAAACTAAATTAAGTGAGTTCAACTATTTGAAATAATGACTAACCTAATCAGTTTTGTCTCTCCTCTCAGCGTCTGAGCCCAATCTGAAGGTGCGCTCCAGACTCAAGCAGAAGGTTTCTGAGAGACGAAGCGGACCGATACGCCGCAGAGACGGCAGCGTCCTCGTTACGCCGCTGAAAAAACGAACTCTCGAACTAACAGGTGAGCAAACGACCATCTACCTGCAACCTGAAACACAGAAAAACAGCCCTTATATCAGAAAACACTCATCTGCAGCAGACTACTGTATGTGAAGAGATAGAATCTCAGCCAATCAGGACATACATCTGATGTTTGATAGACAGACCAATGAGCTTCAGCTGGGGGCAGAGCTCACAGTCAGTATCAAAGCTGACCGCTGTTGTCTCTTTTTTTTAAATTTCCTTATCTCCTACCCTCCTGAAGGTGCGGTCCAGACTCAAGCAGAAGGTTTCTGAGAGACGAAGCGGACCGATACACCGCAGAGACGGCAGCATCCTCGTTACGCCGCTGAAAAAACGAACTCTCGAACTAACAGGTGAGCAAACGACCATCTACCTGCAACCTGAAACACAGAAAAACAGCCCTTATATCAGAAAACACTCATCTGCAGCAGACTACTGTATGTGAAGAGATAGAATCTCAGCCAGTCAGGACATACATCTGATGTTTGACAGACAGACCAATGAGCTTCAGCTGTGGGCGGAGCTCACCGTCAGTATCAGAGCTGACCGCTGTTGTCTCTTATTTTTTTAAATTTCCTGATCTCCTCCCCTCTAGATTCATCAGCCAATGAGAGCCCTGCAGGTTCTGGTCCGAGCTCACCCATTGGCTTGTGCAACAATGAGAAAGGAGCGTCA